ACCCCTCCTTGGGTTTCCGAGGCAGTATCACTACGGAAGTAGGATTGCCCAACCTTCCTTCCGAGGAGTGGCTGGTGAGTTTGAACCACCAGCCTTGTGATTAGCAGTCAAGTGCCTTAGCCACTACACTACCAGAGCTCCCAAGGAGTGGTTTAGCACCTGGTTACTTATTGAAAGACTTGGGTTCAAATCCACTATTTGTTCCATGGGAGAAAGATGTGAGAGTCTGGTTCCACAAAGATTTACAGCCTTGAAAAACCTGTGGGATAACTTTACTGTGTCTTATTAGGTCACTATGAGTTGGAATTAACTTGACAGCAATCGATTTGGTAGGTTGGGCTTAAGAATTTGCATTTCTAACAAGTTCCCAGGTAATACTGGGATCACAATTTTAAAAACTGTCATTTTAATCATATTGCTATGGTCTGATATAATTTAGAATGATTGTTTGATCTTGTTATTAGAGATTATGGGAATAGGGAAATCTTTAGGGCTATATGCAAACATATATCAGTAATGATCAATCACATTATTTTTAACTGGTAATATGACTTTCTTCTCCTACATTAGAATAAAAGTTCACATTCAAAACTCACTCGTAAGGTGTGAATACTATTTCCTAAGGTGTAATATAGGAAAATTAATAACATGGATAAGGATTTCTAGGTCATTTGTAACACATTTGGTACTATTTATTTCGTTATGATCAAGAGAATGATAATGGTATAGAATAAAGCTTATCATTAATGACATTGTTCCTATATATTTGTAATTTATCATATAATTTAACTTGGAAAATTATCTAAGCTACCTATCTACAATGTTGCTTCTCTTCCTTGTGCTTATCTGCAAATTTACTTAGCTTCTGTATCTTTTCTCATCTTTACAAAGTTTTCTGCTTACTTAAGTCACCGTAATTAAACTTTCAGTGAAAGAAATTTTTAGAACACATACAAGAATACAACACATGTGCAAGTTTTGGTTATGTTGCTATGCCAAGTATGGAAAAGCTGTGATATAAATGACAGTGATACAGTAAAATATACTGCCTTGAGGGGAATTGATTTCAGCTAGTGCTTGCAAAATCTTGTTTGTCAGCAACTCCGTTCAACTCTGCTATTAATATACATCTGTTTTATTTGTTTGAGGATTATTCTCTGAGTGTAAATATCTGTCAAGTTCATATGACATTTGTAATATGAGTGTCAAGACAATGTGTTTCTGAATATGGAGTTCTGCAGAAGCCATTTGTGGCTAGATAACCTGTAGAATCACAAGCATCCAGTTCATTTATTCACTCATACAACAAACATTTAGTGAGTTCATATTTTACATTAAAAACTGTAGTATTTATGGTATTTGCAAACATGAAAAATATGTTCGAAATTTCCTTGAACATGTTACTACAGAGACACATATATCAAGTCATTTCAATCTAATTTGAAGAAAAATTATGACAATATAAATAAAATTCATCAAACTTATCTTATATTTTGTTTCTATTAATCCATACTATGAAATAATTCCTATTATTGTCCCTACTATTACTTCAGTTTTCCAAGGAAAACCAGTATGAGGAAGAGGAAGACATAGTGCATGGGAGGTACAGACAACAATGATGAACCTTTTGCATATACAGAACTGCATTGTCGGTGAAGGCAAACATTGATCTATGGGTGAATAGATGGGTGGACAGGCTGAACTATTAGGTATGTCTATGCAGGGGGTGGTGTACCCAAGACCATGTATAGGATTGGCAGACAGTGTTTCTACAAGTGTATTAGTATGTTCTGTAAGAATTCCCAGGTATATAGTAGAGTTGACAAGGGACAAGGTTATAGTCACTTCTTGGCCACAGCCAGCTACCCACAGGGAGCAAATAGTTGGACATGTTGACTCGGGACCATAGTCACAGGGGACATTAAGCTCAATTGGCATAACATACTACACAAAATGTTGTTCCACATCCTACTTTGGTGAGTAGCGACCGAAATCTTAAAAGCTTGCAAGCAGCCATCTAGACGCAACAGTTAGTCTCTCCTCATCCACAGCAAAGAAGAATGAAGAAAACCAAAGACATGTGGAAACAATTGGTCCAAGTGACTGGTAGACCATGCGATCCTCAGCCTATACAACTATGAGACCAGAAGAACTAGATGGTGCCCGGCTATCACTGTCAACCACTCTGAGGGGAATCTCTGTAGGGGATCTTGGATAGAGTGGGAGAACAATGTGGAACATAACTCAAAATCATTAAAAAAAAAAAAAAAAAAGGACCAGGTTTGCTGGTCTAATAGAGCCTGATGGTACCACTGAGACTACGGCCCCTAGCTTCCCTTTAGGTCTGGAATTGAACCCACTGCTGTGGCTTCCAGCCAAACAAAAATAGGCATATTAGCTGAACATTTTCATTAGGCAGAAGAGATCAATCATGGGAGAATAGAAGGGCTGTGCATGCACAGGGAGACAGCTTGGGGGACAAGAGTACATGGGAGGGAAGGACACAGTGAAGAGGTAACTATGGGGAGTGAGAGAGGAGCTGTTGCACTGTGGGAAATTGTAGTCAATGTCATGAGACAAAGTATATGTGAACTGCTGTATGGAAAGTAAATTTGCTCTGTACACTTTCACCAATCACAATAAAACTTAAAAAAAAAAAAAAAAAAAAACGTTGCAGCAGCAGTATATTGAACTGCTAGAATTTCAAGTAGGGTTCATAAGAGGATATGGAATGAGAGATATCATTGCTGATGTCAGATGTACCTTAGCTGAAAGCAGAGAATAACAGAAAGATGATTACCGTGTTCTATTTACCACACAAAAGCATTTGACTGTGTGGATCATAACAAATGATGGATAACATTGTGAAGAATAGGGATTCCAGAACACTTAGGTGTTCATATGGAGCCTGTACCTAGATCAAGATGTAGATGTTCAGGTGGAATAAGAGGATAGTTCATAACTTAAAATCAGGAAAGGTGTGCACCAGCATCATGTCATTTCACCATACTAACTCAATCTGTGTGCTGAGCAAGTAATGCAAGAAGGTGGACCATATGAAGAAGAGCTTGGCATCAGGATTGGAGGAAGACTTGTTATCAACCTGCAGTATGCAGATGATACAACCTTACTTATGAAAATGAAGAAGACTTGAAGCACTTACTGATGAAGATCAAAAACTACATAAAGAAAATAAGTATCTTCACAACATTATGATATATGGAGAAAATATTGAAATTGCCAAGGATTTCATTTTACTTGAATCCACAATCAATGTCCAAAGACCAATTTGCTCTGTAAACCTTCACCCAAATCACTATTTCAAAAAAGGAAAAAAAAATGTCATTGAAGCAGCAGTGAAGAATGAAATAATGAGGTATTGCATTGGGCGAATCTGCTGTAAAAGACCTCTTTACTGTT